TGATAGTGATATGATAAAAGGAAAAGATTCCATCACCTACATCGAGATAGAGCTGCAAATAGCTGCCAGTGAAGTCCATATTGGAAATATTCGATATCACAGAGTGTTTCCTCTTCCTCGCAGCTTCACTCATCATGTTCCCACTCGACGTCACCCTCTGCATGGCGGCCACAGAGGCAGCTGTTGTCAAACCGAAGTCAAGCTTCATGGCACTCTTCTCAAAGTCCTGCAGGGGCTTATCGCAAGTCTTTGCACGAGGCAACCCGACGGTGCGAACCGAAGGATGGTTCATGTTGCCGTGGGAGCGCTGAGGGGTTAGTTTAGGCATCGGATGGTTGACAAGAGGGTTACTTTCGAACTTGTCGTCTTCCGCTTCTTCGTCGCTTTCGTTTATGCATTCCATTTCCTGAAATCAAAATAGAATTATTTATGACGCACAATTTAGAACCGTTTCTCACATGTTATTTTATAAGTTAGTGAGATTTATAGCTTAATGTGAAAGAGTTTCTTTTTATGATACTAAATGACGGGACGAACAGGTAGTGCGCATGTCGATAGCAATTGCAATGCCACTCAGAGCTTTAAATCGCAATTTTGCCCCTGTCACTCTGAAACATAAGTTGAGAAATCGCATGTGCCTGTAATTTCACCAGCCCTCATACCTTCAAAACCGGAACGCAGTAACGCTTGGCGGCAGAAATAGGTCAGGTGGCAGTACTTCCCTGTCCAAACTATTTTGCTAAAAATATTGGTTCCACTGAGAATTTTTTGAACTTTCAAATAGTGTTTTCTCAATTCCACAATTTTGAGTTAAGACAGTATTTCAATTCATGTGCGATTTATTGACTAAAATTTGATGTACAGACAACACACATCGAGCTATAAATTTTTGTTCGAATATCACCTCGAAACAAGATCTGTCAAAATGTTACCGTCTGTACCATTGACTTAGAATTATATGGACGTCGGGTCCGCGCTAAAAAGTATCCGAACTTATAGGGCGTTAAAATCGTATACAGAGAGTCAATCACGCTTTAGTCTTCGTTTGTTCGACTGACAGCGAAGCAAGCAAAATTAGACAGTACTGCGATGACATTCCAATTTAAATTCAACGTTTTAGCTTTTTCATATTCCTTTACATGTCACTACGTTTAAATAGGTTGACTTGGGGCATTTTTTTCGTGGTTTTTGTATTAGACCCGTCGTCCATTTATTTGTAAGTCAATGTTCTGTACCTATAAATTAGTTGCTATGTACAGACATGGTAAATGACGGTAGGTATTTTACAGATTGAAATCGAATGTAAAAGCTACTAAGAACAATAAATAAAAGAACACAAACTCACCTTCACAGCTTGTAATTCACAGTCTACAGGCACTTCTATAAGATGTCGTTTTACCGGTTGGAGTAAGCACGAGCCCAACACAGCATGGAAAGCTAAAGCTCCTAGAATAACCACAGTCCATCTAAATCCATACTCTCCCAGTAATAGCTTCACCAGTTGTGGCATTACCATTAAACCGAAGCCAGTACCAGCCATTGATAAACCAACGGCTTGGCCTCGTTTCTTTGAGAAATAGTGGTTCAGAGATACGAACGACGACGATGATGCAAGACCCACGCCGAATCCTGGAAATTAAAAGAAAATTATGTTAGAATTTTTTTATTTATTAAGAAATAAGTGCGCATTTGACTTCCATCTCACCTGATGGAAAGCGACGACGAGGTCGACGATGGAACATGCACACCTAAATAATGCCTATTTACTCTGGCCTTGAAAGGGTCCAAGTTATAACGTTCAGGGAACAAGTCTGCAGGCAGGGAATTCCACTCCATAGCCGTTCGCCATATAAATGTGGAAGCGTAACGCTTCGTGCGAATGTTTGGAATATCCACAACATAGAGGTCATTGAAATATGTTTTCTTATTTTAGGCTTTAACCTCTTTTTTAATTTTAATTTTACTTTGTTTTTATAAATTTAGTGCAATGCGTGCTTAAAATTCTTAAATATTTGAAATATTTGTCAACACTTTGGTCCAAATACGAGCTTACATATAATTGGAAAACACATAACAACATAACTGCATGCAATATCTAGAATAATTATATATCGACTGTGAACTGGCAGTCGGTACTAAATTTGATGAAGAGAAAAATTGTTTGCGTCATTTATATAGCATTTGGTTTATTAAATAAAAATACGTAGTTTTTAAATATTTTTATTACGCATATATGTATGTAAACTACGTATTTTTATCGTCTGTCAACTCCGAACAATCGCGAAAACCTAAGAACTCAATAAACACAAATTAATTTAGACAATGAAACTATTATTCCGGATTTAATTCGCGTATACTTGCTTTTTTTCAAACAAACCGACGTTTCGGGCCCTTTGCAGGTCCCATAGTTAATGACGATTGACTCAAACATTGAGCAAAAATTTAAAAAAAGTTTCATTTCCTATGTGTAACATTTGCATTGCGAAAACCTAAGATTAAATTAATTTACAAAAAAAGTACTTTTTAACCGACTTCAAAAGGAGGAAAAATATACGGTTGCATGTCTGTTTTATATATGTTCACCGATTTCTCCGTCAATTGTGGACCGCAAAGAGATAGAATAGACTTCATGAATAGAATAATCTGACACTTGGCCAAGCCGTTTATATTTTAACCAATCTTTTTAGAATAGAATAGAATAGAATTGACATTTATTGCAACGCCACAACACATAGTTACAAAAAAAAAATATTGATACTACTTAGACAAGCAAAACAAAACAAAAACACGTAATAAACAAAATTAAAATAAAATGAAATAAGACAATAACAAACAAAGAGCAAAACAAAAAATACTAAATATAACAACTACAAATGTTGTACTGTCATGTGTGCGGTTGTGGCGTACGCAAAAGGACTTCATTCAGCTTATGCCACAGCCGCAATTGACTGTGGCGCTGGTTTTCAATGAGCCCTGAGATTTTATATAAAAATTTATGGCCTTTAGACCGTAGAGCATTTGAGTAACGTCATAATTTGATATTTTAATTAGCAAAAACACGACGTTCTTTTTTGAAACTCATTATAGTTTCGTGCACAAAACTATAATGACATTTTTCAGTTCAATAGCGCGTACTAAAAAGAGCGCCTTTGTGAACTAAAAAGAGCGCCTTTGTGATTTATAAAATTATAATTGACAGAATTCTTAAAAAAAAGAAAACAGAAAGTATTTTAATAATATATACGCTACAAACTCCCTAAAACGACAAGAAATGAGATCACAACGAAAAATTGTTGAATATAAACACTGCTCATTTATATGACGCAATACAGAAGTAAAAGCATACAATATGAGTCATAGCGGTGAAAGGGCGCTGACTCTGCATATGCCAAAGTTCCCTAAAATACCAGTGTATTCGTCAAAAAACTATATATGCATTGACTTACAATTATATGGACGTCGGGTCCGCGCTAAAAAGTGTCCGAACTTATAGGGCGTTAAAATCGTATACAGAGCGTCATTCACGCTTTAGTCTTCGTTTGTTCGACTAACAGCGAAGCAAGCAAAATTAGACAGTACTGCGATGACATTACAATTTAAATTCGACGTTTTAGCTTTTTCATATTCCTTTACATGTCACTACGTTTAAATAGGTTGACTTGGGACATTTTTTTCGTGGTTTTTGTATTAGACCCGTCGTCCATTTATTTGTAAGTCAATGTATATATGCCATAAATAAACTATATATGTTATTGTCATACGTAATATATACAAAGGTGAAGTCACCTAAATAGACCTTACTTTTTTAGACATAGTTAAGTAAATGGAAACGCATTGAAGGTTGCCGAGGTGACCTTCGAATTTGTTTGGTGTCCAAGTATACGATTATCCTGTAGCACAATATGTTGGTGTCGTTATTTTTTCATATTATTACAATTATATTTACTAGGAAATATAATGAGGAAAATTTGCTGCAAATCTAGATTGCAGTTTGCAGTTGTGGTTAAATCAGAATTGGTTCAGATGTGATGAATCGTGTAAGTATGAGCTGACTTAAAGAACTACGGAATATATTGATAATTTGTGGACTTGGTTTATTTATATACACCTCTATACGTTTGTATATTGTCTCAATATTCAATATTCTTCTATACACATCTACGGGCTCCCTGATTACTCTAACATAACAATAGTCTCGTAACTATGTACTCGAGCTTAATATAAACGAGGCTTCAGCCAATTAATTTGCTTATAAAACTATTCTGGAACATAATTCCTTTAAAAAAACACTTACGTAATTTTGAAGATATGTTTTAAACAAATGGATTAATAGAAACTGGTTTGAATATTTGAATGCTAATAGATAAATTATACTTAGATAACGCGTATTCTATAATACCTAAGTTGCATAGGTAAAATAAATTCACACTTGAAAACGTCATTTTTTAAGCTACTGACCGTTTACTAAGCTAACTTTGTTGAGAAGAATGAGCAAGAATCTCTAGGGATTGCTCTTTTCAAATAAACTTAAATAATAATAATATAATAACGTACACACTCAACATAGCCCCGCACTAGGCAACCACAAATTACACCCAAGCTCACGAGAGAAATAAATGTAGGCCTTACACATGTTTCTCCCGGCCCGGGAATCGAATCTGGGACCTCTGCGTGGCAGTCCGGCAAGGTAACCGTTCAGCCACGGAGGCTGTTAAATGCTATGGAACACACTTTGAATCATGTTTGAGTGGAGTCTAGACCCATGTCGTCTTTCCATACATCTGTACCTAACGCGTAGTTATCAATTTTGTAATCTTAATATATGCTCCGGAATGTTATTGTAAAAACGTATGACGTTCCCCATAAAATAATCGTTTAGCTTAGTTAAACGAAATCGTGGAACCATGAGTTTGGACTCAGTTCAAAGGTTAATATTAGGAAGGTTCTAAGGGGCTATTACGGTATCTCAAGAGGTACTTTTGATTGCCTGCTTTACCGTGTTCGTTTTCAGGTGTTTGTGGATCTCCGAGTTTGTAATATACATTACATTAGCTATTCTGCGCATGATAATGTTTTGCATTCTTTGTAAAATGGATTTAATGGACTCACGGTCACAAACGCTCCCCCACAGTTGGATTCCGTTCATCCATAGCTAGCTTAAATTAGTACTTGAGTTTGGGGTAACAAACTTACCTCCTAAAATACTATACGTGGCCAGTATATGCTCCATACTGTTGGCAGGTGCAGTGAAGAGCAAGCCGAGAGCGCATATCGTCGATCCGACGAAACAAACCTTTCTGTATGAAAAGGTTTTTATCACAGGACCCACGAAGAAACCGGAGAAATTCACTACAGAGTCCAAGGTACTGGCGATGACTGATGCCCCCGTAGTATGGACTCCAAGGTCGTCCAATAAGTCTTTAAATAACAAGCCGAAGGACGGCTCAAGCGAACGTGTTGAGAACTGGAAAAGAGAACATCATTATTACAATATTGTAAATCAATTTTAACTTAGCGAAGATTAGAATTAAAGACCAGAAACTAACACTAGTAATACTGTGCCCGACAGCGACACCAATTGTCTGGTCTCAAAAGGAATTTCCTGTACTGTGAGTACCAGAGCAATGGAAATTGCTTCGGGGCACTACCTGAACACCCAAACCAGAACAAATTTAGAAAATGGAAAAGAATCATAGATTTCTCATAGATGGCACTACGGCTAAAAAACCATTGAAAAACAAATTTCGAGTTCGCCCGGATTGAATGAATTTTTTGTAAGTGTTCGATCTTTGTATTAGTCATTATAACGAACTAGTGAAGTGATTTCACAAAAAAAAACTGAATATTAATAATTAATAATTCAATAGAAATTTTAATTTAGAAAAGTTAATTTCCCTAATTGATCCTACAAACCCGGGACCTCTGCACCAACGCCCACAGTACATACTATTAGGCCACAGACGTTATCCATGCATTATAACAAAAAGCGTGAAGAAAACCATAAATTATGTTCATAAACAAATCTTTCAAATTTTCTCGTTTAATTTAAAAACTTAATATTCCATAGTTGGTCATTGATTCAACACACGTAAAATATGTGAAATAAAATTTTCATTACACGACAATTAGACCCTGATAATAAATAGTTGTAGAGTCTTTTGTTGTGAAATCGATAACCTATCTTTCATTTAGACCAAAATTGTGTTTGCATTTTTTCCGATAATATACGTGACTTCAATAAAGACTATCCAACACGTAGATATAATATAGGATAACAAACAGATTAATGATGGCGCGGTAAACAAAAAAATCTACCCGTGACATGA